GGAGGCGCCGCAGGCTCCCCGCTTCCCTTCGGGCTTGTAGTTGGTGGTTCGGTTGTTTGTTTCTTTTTTTATTCCCCCTCCATGTTGCATGCAGGGGTTGCAGCGTCCCCCGCCTCGGGGCTCCCCGGCCCTGCCGTCTTCCCCTTGACAGCGCGGGTGGGAAAGGCAGGCCTCGGCCCCGCTGCCGCAGCCTGCTCCGCCTGTCCCCAGGGCGGGGGGCACGAGTGGGACCCGCCTGGCCGGGTGACGCCGCCCGGGCCGGGCCGTGCCGGCATGGTTCCCCGTGGCCTGGTGGGGCCGTGCTGGCCGAAGCTGTCGTCCAGGTGCTCTCGCCATTCTGTCGCCACCGCCTCGGTGTGGCTGCGGCGGCTGCCGTCAGGATGCCGGAGGGAGCCGAACGTAGCAGCCCAGCCTGCTGGTGGCATATAAATAAAACTTGTGGGTTGTACTTTTTCGTTCTTCTTGCCTAGGAAGTGCTATCGGCTGTAGTGTTAACAGACACTCTCCTCTCTTGGAAATCCACTGACACCCTTAGGCGCCTGTCCTAGGGGCAAGAAAGGGAGATGGAACTTAACCATGGAAGTCCATGTAGCTTTGGGCTGGTGGAGAAATCCCCGTTTTATTCTTAGTATTTGTCTACATGCTGGTTTGTATGCAACTTAAAATCCAAGTGTCTTTTGTGTAAAGGGGCTTACAGAGGGTTTATTTTGTGTGTGTGTTTTAAGTGAGCAGTCTCAAACAATACTTGATTCAGGTGATATTTTTCATTGTTGTGTTGTAGCCTTATCATAAAGAATCTCTTTCTTTCAGGTTTGCAGAAGGTTGGGAATTATAGAAGTTGATTATTTTGGACTGCAGTTCACTGGCAGCAAAGGGGAGAATCTGTGGCTGAATTTGAGGAACAGGATCTCCCAGCAGATGGATGGTTTAGCCCCTTATCGATTGAAATTAAGAGTCAAGTTTTTTGTAGAGCCCCATCTTATCTTACAGGAACAGACAAGGTAAGATCGAGATGGCTGCGAGTAGATCGAATTTATTATAAAGTACAGAAATTAAAAACAATGAAAGTGAGTACAAACTGGTTTAATCTATTCCATCTTCCAGCAATACTGCTTGAGTTTTCTGTGTAGTTTTAAAACCTTAGTGTTATTTTCATTTTTACAAAAGGAATAAAACATTTATATAAAAAAACCCCAAACTGGTAATATAAGTATTCTGTGGCTATCAGTAATGAGTGAGTGTAGGTAATTCCATGAGCACTTAGTGCTGGAAGTAGAAGAAACTAAGCTACCAGTAGCAAATTATTTATATGGTATTTGCATGTCCGATAGTAACCCCTGTTCAGTGGTGTTACTCTAGGTCGTTCTAAACCACTGGTACAGAAAGGCAGGAAACAATTCCTCCCACAGAGTGAAAAACTTGCTGAATTCCTTTTTGTCTGGTATTATGTTACAGTAACTTTCAAATAGCTTCAGGCCCTTTGAGGCTACAAAAGTAACAGCTGTTTTGCTTCTTCTGTGGCCAGTCCTGCTAACTAAATTGTTTTACTGTTAACCAACTGTAAGGATTAGTCTTCTAAGATTAGTAGTGAACACTTTTCCTCCTCGAGTTTTGAAGATAACTCACTTGCAATTCATGTGGTAATCAAAGAAAGCTGTGCACATATATGTTTAATGCTGACCTTTCCATTAGTTTTTCCTGTTAGTTTTATATATATATTTTAATATAAATGGAGCAAATTGAAATCTTGTGCCTATATTGTAATGCCAAAACATGTTTTCACTACTCACCTAACTTTAGTGTGCTTGTAGAAATAAGACCATGATTACAACATGGTGGTTCTACACAGAATGTTTGTCTAAAGAATTTGGTCAGAGGCTCACTGCGTGATCTGGTGTTTAATAGGAAAAATGTTTCGAGTTAGCATGCATATATTAATTTTTGAACTGTTGTGCAAGGGAGAGGCCTTTGGGGAGCAGTGGTTTCAGCTCATCAATCTGGTTGAAGATTTCAGAATGCTATGGAGTTAGACCAGAGTTGTCCTATTTAATAGCTTTAAGGCAAGTGCATTCTAACCAAATTCCAGTTCTGTTGTATCTTTATTTGGAAAAATAAATTATACTGTCCATGGTATATCTTTGGGTTCTTTTTGAGTCTTTAAAGAAACTTGTCCTCTTAAATATTCTCAGTAAGTATAAAACCAAATAATGAAGGATTTCTATGTAGAATGAAAGGAGCAACAGTTTCATGCCTGATGAGACAGAAGAGGTTACCCAGAGCATGTTGGGTGTGTCTGCACACACAGGCTAAATCAGGGTGAATCTGAGGAAGCCTAAAGCTGATGTCATTGATGTTTTTATGCTGTCCTTGATGTATGTTTGTTCAACTTCCCAAGGCCTTTGCAGACACCTGTGTTCCTGTCTCCAACACTGTCAATGCAAGACTTGGCAGGTTGTGTAAGTTAAAGAGCTTGAACTGGTGAAACATACCCCGAGGGCCTAAAAGACAGTTTGTAGCTAGAATGTAATGGAGCTTGTATACCTATGTCAAAATAGGAAGTACTTCACTATAGTGATGAGTTTAAAAGGCTGGAGGTGGGACAAGCTTTTATGTCTGAATTAAGACTGTTCTAAAACTATTTTTAACAAAATTTTAAAATTAATTGAGGCTCAGTCATCAGAAGTGTTCTATGAAAAATCTGCTCTGGAAAGAATTGCTTACAGTTTTGGAGACCAACAGCCATTGAAACTAGTATTTAATGTCACTCTGTCTTGCAAGCATTAATAGTCCAGAGGCTTCAGCTAAGCTGTTCAGTCGATATCCCGAGTATTTTTAGTGCTCTTGCTAAAGCAAATACAAGTTGTAAAATAATTTGCAATAGCTGCCTTTTAGTTAGGTATGCCCAGAAGTTTGTGTAGTGGACCTAGAATTCCATAGTGCCTGTTGTTAATGTATATTTCTGTAGTGTTGACACTGGGTTTCAGTAGATTTACTTTTTTTCCACCCCTACTCTGGTCTGCTTGAGGATTTACATATGCACATAACTGCATTCATGTTTAGTTTGCATGTAAGCATGTGTGGCATCAAGGAGAAGACAAACTTGTTAAACCTGTCACTGAACTTTAAATCAGTAGGCTTATCATGGAATTGCAAGGATTAGCTGTACAGTTACAGCTGACACCTTGTTTCTTACCTTTACTTGCAAAGTCAGTGTGCTGGTCGATGAAGAAATAGTGGTGAGTCTCCTTGGTTTCCTTTAGCAGTTATGTCCACAGCTGATGCAGAGGGGGTTTCTGGCAGAGCTGTTGCCTTCTGGTCCCTTGTGTGAAGAACGCTGAGGAAGTCTCCCAGTCTTTTGCTTGCTGCCTCGATGCTGTTTTTAGATATAAATTAGATGCATGTTGAGACTGCTTTTGAAATCTGGGAAGATGCAAGTAATTCTAAATGTTGTTGATATACTTCATCATGATGATAATAGTGAATGTCATGACTGAGTTGTTACCTTTTTTCTATACTTTGGAAGCTTTGTCAACCCCAGTTCCACTGCGTTATTAGAGATCCTTGTCTTGCACTTAATTATAAAACTTGGATGTATGTTTGTGGCAATTTAATGTTCAGGTTTCTGCATGCTCTGTGAAAAGCTGATCTGGCAACTGAACATCACCCTCTGCTTCTGTTATCTTTAATCAGTGTGCAATAATCCAGTGGAAGATCACAACCTCATGCATTTTAATCTTCTTATGCAAGGGAGCCTTCTTGCTACAGAGTGCAAAGGCAGAGCAAGCTGTAATTGTACCTCTGACCACTCTGGCAACAAACCACCTCCACTAAGTGCTTTGTGAATGGGAGAATTGCATGGGGGGAAAAAAAACCTTCTTGCTATACTTTCTTTCCTTTGACAGGGCTAAAAGTGGCTTATTTCTATTGTTCTTTGGTTCTCAATTTCTAATTTTTTATTTGACTTCACCACAGGATTTTGTAGTTTGGAACAGCCTTCAGTGGAATGAAAATGCCTCAGTGCAAGAATGCTATTCAAATTTAATCTGCTGCTGTCAACTGTAGTTTTACAAACAAGTCTGAGATGTGAACAGGGTGCTTGTTTAGAGGAGTTGGAGTAGCTATACATTTTTTTGAATGGAAAATCCCGTTGGCTTGAAAAGGCCTGCTGTCTTTTTGCTCAAAGATAGATATGATGGTCCAAGATCTAGATCATTAAACTCTGGCTTATGTCCTGTTTGTTTTCAGTTTTCTGTATTTCTTGATAGGCAATGCAGCAGTTAGTGTAAAAAAAAAAAAAAAAAGTAAAAAGTAGGAGGTTTGTCAGAATGATTTATTTATTACAATGCTGTGTTGTACACGTGTCCATCTCAGCGAGGCGTTGGGGCTTGGGGTGATGATTCTGCTTCACCACTGGCAATTCGGGGAGGACTCCGGCTGGGGGAAACGAGGGGGTCTGGCTGGGCGGGAGCGGGGCTCGCCGGGCCAGCGGTGCGGGGTAACTCCGGGTCAGTAGCCGCCGGTAACCCCGGCCGGCAGCCCCGCGGCGGGCGGGCGAATCGGCGGCTGCAG